AATATGTGTTTCTTGGAGAAAATAACATCAGTTTTAACAACTTTAATTTCATTAAACAAAATACGTTTCCTCTTGTCAGAGACCAGCCCATTACAATTAATTGACATTATTTTTAAATTATTTACACCCTCCATTGTTGGTTTTAAAGTTTTTAAAACAAAATAATACTACCTTAATACATAACAAAATACTATAACAAAAAACTCTATCGAATAAGACTTTTAAATAAACTTTCACTAAATTCAAACTACAACTTAACAATCTGAAACAATAAAAATACAAGCAGACAAAACACAAAATCTTATACGTGATAAAACTTACTAAATCTTGAAATACAAATAATAAACAATTAACAAAATACCATAACAAAAAACAAATATGGTACAACATGAATGAGATCAAAAATAAAATTCGAGCCGATAAGGTACTTATAGAATTACAGCAAAAAGTCTTAGCCAACCAGTGAAAAGAGGGAGGGCCAGAGGACTTAAAAACGACCAATGAAAAAGCGGATGAGCTCCGCGAAGTAAGGTAAAACAAAAGATGAGTGAATATGGTGATCCGCGAAGCGCTACACATTTCTAAAGCGCGGTTACTATACATAAACATAGTAGCATCAAATAATTTGACATCAAGTACCTTACCGGCTAGAACTTCCAAATAATTATCCACCAAATTAAAACAAATATCTAACAAACTGAAAATATAAAATAACACACAAAAGGAAACGGAAAAACACAAAAAAATAGACGTGACGTCACAAAAAACTGGACGATATTTATAAATGATTGACCTAGCAATCGTGCGTAACAAATATCGCTCACGGCAGGTTAAAACTATAAAAACGATCAACTGAGTGATCCAGTGAGTGTATAGTTCACACCTATCAAAACAAAACTGATTGATTAATATTACTCTACATGTAAATACATACTGAACACAAAAGACATCAAAATAAAACTGAAATATCAGTCGAACATAAATCGGGAGACGGGCCATGACTCTGATGAGGGGGGTTAGGCATAATTCGTAATCCATTTTGAAAAATAGGGTCTGGTAATCAAAACAATATGAAAGAAAAAATAAAAATCAGGTATTCACCAGTGAAACTTCACTTCCCTTGCGCACTCGAACTGCCTTCTTGGGGTCGACCAGCTTAAATTCTCCATTTTCATCTTCCTCATCTCTAACTCGTTTCGGTGTTGTTGACGGTTGAGTTTCCATGCTGTCTTCGCTATCTGTATCATCTGTAGAATGTTCACTCATATTTTCAATATTATTACCAGTTTTATTTCCTACATCTTCGGGGACATCATCCTGATGTTCCGCATCATCGTGGACATCCTCTCTCTTTCTTCCGGACAACTTGTCGGCATAGGTGGGCGGCTTGTTTAAATTTGGGCATTCACCTCCTTTGTGTCCGATACAGCGACATCGGAGACACAAAGGAAGGCGACCTCTTGCCGTTATCAGCATTCTACACGTGCCTTTGTTATACGTGATCATGTGTGGTACTTCACCGAAGTTGTTGTGACTTAAACTCATGTCCACTACTCTTATACCATTTTTAACATTCTCCCCTTCAGATGATCTTTCATAAATACTAATGATATTGCCAAACTGTGAGAAAAAGTTGTATAAAAACGAATCTTTAATGTACCTTGGCATCCAGTGAATTGAAAATTGTACTCTCCGTAAGTTGTTATTTCCAAATACAACCACTACTCCATCGATATTGACTGGATCTGAATCTCTCAATATTTCAGCATCTTCTGGAGACGACACAGTAACCTCATATTCTCGTGGTGTCTGGCTTCTGCTAATTGCCTCTATTTTCACTTTCGGCATAGCTTTCTTCACCGCAGCATATACAAACGAGTGAGACATACTGATTTTACTACTGACTTTCACCATTCTGTTAAAAATTCCGCGATCAATATCGTCATCTGCTACTTCAATCTCTACTTCAGCAGGCATTCTTGAAAGAAACAAAAAACACCCAAAAACGTACCAAAAACCAGAAGACACAGTGACCGGGACGATCAAGGTTTCTCCTGTACCAGGTAAGTATGCCGAATTCAGGAGGTATGCTGAGCCATGAAACATACTTAGAAAAGATCTAGACTGGTATTATTCATTAACCCTCTATGACCCGAAATGGCATTAAGCATAAATTGAATAAGAACTCTCGCAAAAGAAATGTGGCTCGTACATTTTTCTTTGTGTTCGGTCCAGATTTAGAATTTTTGGTCCAAGTCGATATTTGCCGATAAACAAAAAAAATTTGCTTTTCCCCCAAGTCAGAACAAATAAAAAAAGAGCCAAATCTCGTGAAAAACGTTATCTTAGATTAATTCTTGTATAACTATACAATTATGACGTCAAAAACACTGTTATGGCGAAAAAATGCAAACAGGAAGATTGGAGTGGACAAAACAATTTAAATTCGCGACTTACCCGGTCAGAAATGGCATTTTCCTGTCTAAAAAACAAGACCGCACAAGCCTACATAGGAATAACGTTGCATCTAAGGAAGACAGTAAAAACGACGTCATAATAACGTTATTCACTCTTATAGCGCATAAGGCCGGGTTTTTAGTACTTGGCTGGCGATATATGGCGGGTACAACTCTTTTGACATTGATTTACCAGGGGAGAGCGCGAACGCAGTCCCCCACACTAAAAAATTACGTACTCGAGTCACCCACATTAGGGGTGATCGCAGGGGTCAGCCTCCGCTAGGTGCAATGCAGAAGCCTCGTCCTGGGAGAACCTCCTTTTTTTTTTTTTTTTTTTTTTTTTTTTTTTTCATAAAAACTTTATTCAAATAAAATGTATAGATACAAAGTTGCCATACATGTATAATGATAGTAAAATTATACAGTTATTTACAATAAAATTGTATGACACCGGAATAAAGTTGAAGATAAAACAATTCATTTTTACAAAAAGCACACTTTCCAATTTTCAAATATATACAGCAGATAATCTATTAACAATATACAAAACTACACAAACATTCCTTAGAAAAATCACTATTGTACGTTTCTACAAATTAATAGTGGTTTGGAAACATAATTGTCTCCCATTAATAACATTGGTTATCTCCCATGTAAAAACAAACTGGTAGTTAAATCCACAAAACAAATAAGTAATAAATATACCATCTCATTAACATAGAAAAACCAGAAACATAATAAATATGAAAAATTAAAAAAGGAATAACAACTTTCCTCTATCGTCCACTGAGCAAAAAATTCCTGGGTCTAACCAATATTTGTTGAATTTTGACGGATTAAATCTAAATTTATCTACAACAATTCTAAACCGAAGCTTTTCCTTTAAAGCACTTATGAGGAAATTACTAGTAATATTTTTGTTACGAAATCTATTGTCATTTCTGCATGACCAAATAATAAGTTTTGCATAATTGATTAATAACAAAATTAAATGAAAATGAATTACATTAAATTTAGGTATATTCAAAAACCGAATCTCATCAAACTTTAAGACAGTAGTTCTACCCATTAAACTTGAAATAAAAGAATTAACAACTTGCCATATAGGCTTAACAATAAAACAAGAATAAAATGCATGATAAACAGTTTCAATTTGTTTACAGTAATTACATAGTTTTTCTCTAGTATGGCTTCTACAATATAGAGTCCACATACAAGGGACAATATCATGGGCCATTCTCCAGGCTAGACTCCTTGCATGTGAATCTACAAAATTACAATGTACATTAGAAAATGCTTGCTTGAAATTAATACTTGCAAATATTTTGAAAGTTGGATTGACAACAACTTGAGACTTCTGCAAGAGTATATAAAATTCTTTAGTGGTATGTTTATCTCTCCATGAAAAATTAGGATAAAGAGAAATAAAATTATCTAGAATAGATTTACAATTAACATAAAAAGTGGGAATGAAAGAACTATGTGGAGTGTTATTTGAAAATGAAGATGGATCAATTTTCTTTAACGTAAAACCTAACCAATAAAAAACAAAATATCTATATGTACAATTAACATCATTTAAAACTGAATGAATATGTTTTAATCTTAAAGAATCTAATTTTAATTTAACATCAACAATATCTAACCCACCTTCTGCTTTTTTCCCATATAAAAAATCCCTCTTCAGAGGTTCAAACTTCTTATTCCCCCAAATATATTTAAAAAAACAAGAATTAATAACCTTAATAAAATGTACAGGAATATCTATAAACTGTGAAACGTACCATAACTTACTCAAAGCAAAAGTATTTACAACCACCCCCCTACCAAATATAGAAAGGTCTCTATTCTCATATGAATGAATAGTAGCTATAATTAAATTTAAAATTTTATTAATATTATCCTCTGGTGAAAGAGAGTTACCAAAATAAATGCCTAAAATACGTTCTGAAGACGTCCATGAAACTCCGAAAGCCTGATCACATACACTAAAATCGCCAAAAGTAAGAACCTTAGTCTTAGACTTATTCAAAAGAGCACCAGAGCCCTGGCCAAATGACTCATAGATGTCCAGAACTCTACCAACACTGGCAGAGTCTGAACATATACCGGTAACGTCATCGGCATAAGCCGAGACACGGGCCTCCTCATTGTAACCAGGGATAGAAATTCCTCGTATATGTGGATCAGACCTAAGGCGTATCAGGAACGGCTCCAGAACTAAAACATAAAGAAGGGGGCTAAGAGAGCACCCTTGATGGACGCCCCTGGTTAATAAAAACGGATCTGTTCTAAAGCCATTAACCAAGACAGAGCTGTATGTATCCGTGTATAACAATTTAACCCAATTAATAAACGAACTGCCAAAATTATATTTTTCCAAACAAGCAAAGAGGAAATCAAAATTGGCTCTGTCGAAAGCTTTACAGGAATCGATTAGACACAAGGCTAGTTTAGAATCTTTTTGTTTAACATAATCAAATAAATTTCGAATCAAGTGTATATTTGTAGAAATACTGCGACCAGGAATTGAACAAGTTTGATCCGGATGAACGATTTCCTCTATCACACAACTAAGTCTTCGTTGAATGGCTTTAGAAAGGATCTTAAAATCTACATTTAAAAGAGAAATTGGTCTCCAACAACGCATGTCGGACGCACGAGATCGGTCCTTACACAACAGGGTGATAACACTCAATCTCTGTGAAGGGGAAAGTAAACCATTTACAAAACTAGAATTATATAATTTATGTAAAATTGGGCCAAAAATATCAAAAAATGTAAGATAAAACTCTTTGGTAAGACCATCCAAACCTGGACTGCGATTTGGTTTAAAATTCTCAAGGGCAGACTTTATCTCCTGAAGAGTAATTTCCCCTTCACAGAGATCACGGGAGTCATCCTCCAATCGTGGAAGAGCCGATATAAAATCAAACATAATATCCCGATTAACGGACTCGCTGGTGAATAAATGTGAATAAAAATTTGAAACAATACGTAATAAATTAGGGGAATCTGTATATATTTTTTGGTCAATGGGATCTAAAAGAGAATTAATAACTTTGTCCTGTGCTCTCTTAGCCTCCTTAGAAACAAAATATTTAGTAGGTTTTTCATTATTGTCTAGATCCTGAGCCCTAGACCGAACGACATTACCGTGATCTTGATTAATGTGAAAATTCAAAAGTTCTTTTTTGCAGCAGTTCAGTTGCCCGATATAGGACCCAGGATCTAGACTCTCCACCTTCTGTAAAAAGGAAAAACGTTTCTCTAATTGCTTTCTTAAGAGATTCTTATTCTTGGCCTTCTTTTTAGAGTAAAAAACAATAAAATCCTTAACATCTTTTTTACAATTATCCCACTGCTCTCCAGTGAGTATGGACTCAACATCAAAACATGATTTAAAAAACTGTCTAAATTCTAAACCAAAATCAGAATCATCGAGCAATGCATTGTTCAACCTCCAATAACCCGGACCTATCGAAACAGACGAAGATAAATTAATAGTGATCAAAACATAGTCATGGTCGGAAATTGAACAGGGCAAAACTCGATGAGTCTGAATAAACTGAGAGTATCTAGCAGAAAGATAAAACCTATCTATTCTGGTAGAAACTCTCACCCCCCTCCAAGTAGTGATTACATCATTAGGGTGTAAAAACCTAAAAACATCAACAAAAGAAAAATCATTAATAATATTAGACAACTGCACACAACCCTCACGACCAGCGTTCGGGTTGCCACCAACTTTGTCTAAACTAGGGTTAAAAATACAATTAAAATCACCACCTAAAATAACAATATTAGAGGATAAACAAAATTTATGAATGTAATTAAAAAACTCACGTCTCTCCGTGCAATCTACAGGAGCATACACACATATTAAACGAAATAAAACATCTCTAATTTTTACATCAATAAAAATAAATCTACCTTGAAAATCATATTGAAATTTTAAAACAGAGAAATCTAAATTTTTATTAATTAAAATTCCGACGCCATATTGCTTATTACTGCCAAAACTCCAAAATGCTTTATAGTTGGCTAAACTTTCGATAATTTTTCCTTGTTCTAACGTCTCAATATGTGTTTCTTGGAGAAAAATAACATCAGTTTTAACAACTTTAATTTCATTAAACAAAATACGTTTCCTCTTGTCAGAGACCAGCCCATTACAATTAATTGACATTATTTTTAAATTATTTACACCCTCCATTGTTGGTTTTAAAGTTTTTAAAACAAAATAATACTACCTTAATACATAACAAAATACTGTAACAAAAAACTCTATCGAATAAGATTTTTAAATAAACTTTCACTAAATTCAAACTACAACTTAACAATCTGAAACAATAAAAATACAAGCAGACAAAACACAAAATCTTATACGTGATAAAACTTACTAAAACTTTAAATACAAATAATAAACAATTAACAAAATACCATAACAAAAAACAAATATGGTACAACATGAATGAGATCAAAAATAAAATTCGAGCCGATAAGGTACTTATAGAATTACAGCAAAAAATCTTAGCCAACCAGTGATAAGAAGAAGGGCCAGAGGACTGAAAAACGACCAATGAAAAAGCGGATGAGCTCCGCGAAGTAAGGTAAAACAAAAGATGAATGAATATGGTGATCCGCGAAGCGCTACACATTTCTAAAGCGCGGTTACTATACATAAACATAGTAGCATCAAATAATTTGACATCAAGTACCTTACCGGCTAGAACTTTTAAATAATTATCCACCAAATTAAAACAAATATTTAACAAACTGAAAATATAAAATAACACACAAAAGCAAACGGAAAAATACAAAAAAATAGACGTGACGTCACAAAAAACTGGACGATATTTATAAATGATTGACCTAGCAATCGTGCGTAACAAATATCGCTCACGGCAGGTTAAAACTACAAAGTTGACCAACTTAGTGATCCAGTGAGTAAATAGTTCAAACCTACTCAAATAAAGTTCAGAGTTAAAAACTAGAACTTTGTACAAAAAAGAAACAAGTAACAAAATTATAAATACATTAAAGTTAAACTGACAAGTCAGCCAAAAATGAATATCCATTAGGCAAACCATGACGCTGCTAGGGGGAGTCCATTAAGGGAGAGGGGGTCAAAAAAATGTAAAAATGAATATAACTTAACATTATTAGGTGTTGTTATTGTGGTTTAACGATACTTCATTTGCTCTTCTTAATTTTGTTGTTCCTTTTCCTTCCACCATTTTAAAACCATCATTTTCTTCATCATCTAGTGCTCTTTTTGTTGCTGTCGTTCCCATGTCCATTTCGTCATCACTTTCACCAGAGCTGGAATCTGAAAGATTTCCACTCGTCCCAAGGGGACTTTCCTCATCATTTTCTTTCATGCTTGTTTCACTCTCCCCTACAGTTTGTTCAATGTGATCTTGTATCTCCACCGGGACTTCCTCCCTCTGACGTCCTGACAATTTTTCAGCGTATGTGGGGGGCTGGTTGAGCTTTGGGCATTCGCCTCCCTTGTGTCCAATACACCTGCACCGTAAACACAAGGGAAGACGACCTCTTGCCGTTATGAGGGCCTTGCAGGTTCCATGATAAAATGTCAACATATGCGGCACCTCTCCAAAGTTGTTATGAGACAAAACCATGTCTACCACTCTTATTCCATTTTTGAAGTCTTGATTCTCAGATGACCGCTCGTAAATATCAAGTACTTTTCCAAATTTGGTAAAGATCTTCTGAAGGAAAGAGTCTTTAAACGATCGGGGTAGCCAATGCACAGAAAACTGAACCCTTCTCAGCTTATTATTCCCAAACATTATTATAATACCATCAATATTAACCGGGTCAGCTTCCCTCAACTTCTCTGCATCTGCATTACTCTTAAGTGTTACTTCGTACTCCCTAGGCGAAAACGACTTACTTATTGCTTCTACCACTGTTTCACCCAACACCTTAGTAACTGCTATGTAGACAAGAGCATGACTAATGCCTACCCTACACGAAACCTTCACATTTCGATCTTCTATTCCTCGATCAATATCGTCATCAGCCACGTCCACTTCAATTTCCGTCGGCATGACGAGAAAAAAAAGCCAGTAATCACGAACCTCAAAAACCAAAAGAAACACCGTCCGGAACGAACAAGGTTTCTCCTGTACCAGGTAAGTATGCCGAATTCAGGAGGTATGCTGAGCCATGAAACATACTTAGAAAAGATCTAGACTGGTATTATTCATTAACCCTCTATGACCCGAAATGGCATTAAGCATAAATTGAATAAGAACTCTCGCAAAAGAAATGTGGCTCGTACATTTTTCTTTGTGTTCGGTCCAGATTTAGAATTTTTGGTCCAAGTCGATATTTGCCGATAAACAAAAAAAATTTGCTTTTCCCCCAAGTCAGAACAAATAAAAAAAGAGCCAAATCTCGTGAAAAACGTTATCTTAGATTAATTCTTGTATAACTATACAATTATGACGTCAAAAACACTGTTATGGCGAAAAAATGCAAACAGGAAGATTGGAGTGGACAAAACAATTTAAATTCGCGACTTACCCGGTCAGAAATGGCATTTTCCTGTCTAAAAAACAAGACCGCACAAGCCTACATAGGAATAACGTTGCATCTAAGGAAGACAGTAAAAACGACGTCATAATAACGTTATTCACTCTTATAGCGCATAAGGCCGGGTTTTTAGTACTTGGCTGGCGATATATGGCGGGTACAACTCTTTTGACATTGATTTACCAGGGGAGAGCGCGAACGCAGTCCCCCACACTAAAAAATTACGTACTCGAGTCACCCACATTAGGGGTGATCGCAGGGGTC